GCCTGCGCCAAGCCGCGTCAGCCAGTTGCGCGCCCGCGCCAGCGCCAGCCGATTCCATCGCAGCCGCCCACCTCGCGCGCAGCCGTCGCCGCCGCTGCCGCGCGCGCCGCAGCCATGCACCTGCGCATGCGCGCCAGCCAACGCTGCCCATTCAATTGCACGAACCGCTTCACCATGTCGCGCCATTCGGATGCGCGCGCGCGCGGTTGTGCGAGCGTGGAAGCGAACGCACTTGCCGTGCTTGCGGCGACGCATCGGAATTTTGCAAAGCACCCCCCTCCCCCCCCCCGCGCTCCTCGCCGCGACGCCGCGACAGCGCATCTTTTAATTTCGGCGTTGTCGCCCTCGACGCAGCGCGCGGCGCCCATCGGCCAGCGCATGCGGCAACCCGAGCCCACCCAAATTGATATTCAGCGATTGGCGCGCGGCTTGTCGGCGCGCCCGCGCGCGTTCTCTAGGGCCATGCCTCGCGGGCGGGCGCGCCGCAGCGACGGCCGCGTGGGCCGACGAGGTGGGGGGCGCCAGTGCGCGGCCGTATGCGGCGTGCAGTATGCTGCGGTTGGGCCCAGGTGGCCGCCATGAGGCTGGGTAGCCAGGGGCGGCCGCCGCCGTTGGCGATCCACCACCCGCGGCGCAAGCGCATCGCGGGAGCGCGCCGCCGCCTTGGAGACCGATGGCGAGGATTGGTTGGCACCGCGGGGCATGCGTCGGGCAGGTCTCCTCGAGCGCATCTGAGCTGCTCAACGGGCTTGGGTCGGCAGTTTGCGCCGCTGTAGAATATCAGCCCCTTGCCGCAAGCAAGGCTGGTTTCGCTCGCGTTGGCTCTGCCAGCGGTCGGGGGCTCGCAGCGCCCGCCGCCGTCGCCGCCAGCCGCCGCCCGCCGCCCCCGACGTTTCCAGCGCGGCGCGCGGCGCGCGCACGCGGCCGCGACGAGTCGTCGGGTTTGCGCTGGCGGGCGCCATGCCATGACAGTCTCAACATTGCGGGGTGCCAGCTGGGGAGATGACGGCTCGCGCGGAGCGGTCGGGCGGTCGGCGTGGGCAGGGGCCCCGCCGTCGGGCAGGCGCGCGCCAAGGGCGTCCCAGTACCGACCCCAGATTGCACCGCCCCACGTGATGCACCCGTTGTCGGCGGTCAGTGGTCGCGCCGTCGGTCCTCGCGTTGGCGCGATGGCTCACAGGGCGGTGGGCAATCTTTCCCAGCGAGGGGGTTCGGGCGCTGGCGGTGGCAGATATGTATTACAGCAACTCGGCGGCATGTGTGCCGACGGAATGAGATGTTGATTCGGTTGCATTCGCCGACCCCCCCCCCCCCCTTCCCCTCTTTTCACCCCTCCACCCCTTCGCCGCGCGCTCCGCGCCCGCCGCCGCCGTCTCTGCGAACCGCCGCGCGCCCGCCTGATCAACTGCGCCGCAGTGTCAACTCGGCGCGCGAGCCCTCGCACTGCGCACCAATGCCGTGCCGTGCCGTCAGCGCCGCGGCCGCCATCGCATCGCGCGCCCGCGCCACAATGCAACGATAACACCACGCGCAAACGCGCGCACCTCGCCGCTCCACCGTGCACCGCCTCGCCCACGCGCCAACGCACCCACCTTACCTTGACCCAAACCGCGCGCGCACGCCGCCGCCGCCTCCCCCCCCCCATCTTGGACACCGCGCCAGCCATGCACCACCGCCACCGCCGCCCGCGCGCACGCAGAGTCGCGTGCGCATGCGCGCACGCACCCGCCCCGCCCCAACCGCGCATCGCCAACCCGTGCGCCAACAACCGCGACAACACGCAACAGCCACCACCCCCGCCACTGCTCGCCAGCACCGCGCACATCGCCGCAACCGCCGCCCTCACCGCCAACGCGAAGAAGCTGGCACATCCCGCCGCGCACGCCACGCCCTTGCCAAACCGAAGGCCCAGAAACGGCTGATGCAACCATCGCTTGCTGCACGCATGGCCCCACGGGCGGGTTCAAGACCCCGCACGCAAACTGCATCAATGATGGTCGCCGCCAGCGGCCCGCATTGATACCAAGACGACAACCGCACGCCTGCTTGACTTTGGTTGTCGCGACGGCTAGCGCACCAATCCGACCACTCGCGCAACCAACCGCACGTTGGAAACGTTGTATCCCCGCAGCCCGTTCCCGCCGACCCGACGCTAGAGAATTGCATTCGGGCGGGTGAGCAGGCGACCCGCGCCGATTGTGAGAAGGAATTACGCGAGCGACGCCTCCCGTCACGCGAAGCCCCTGAAGAAGGCGCCGACGATGGCTTCGCATGCGCCCCGCCCAACCCGCTCGTGCAAATATTGCGTTCCCGACGCTCCGCGGTGGCTGTCCGATATATTCGGCGGGCTGGCATCACCGCCCCCTCGCCCACGCGAGCGCATGGCTTGCCGCCCACCGAAACTGCGATTCGACGGCGCCACTTACCGCGCCGACTCGCATGCAACTTGGGGCTCCGACGCGCCCATTGACAACCGCTGCGCGATGCTTCAACATGGATGGCCCGGAGCGCGGCCAGCGTGTCCACCCAGCGCGCACCCGACGTTGACCCTCTGCCCCGCCCTTTCCGCCGCCACCACGCTACGCGCACGGGCAACCCTATCGGCGCGCGCTGTCGCCGCCACGGCCGCGTTGCGCCTCTCACCCTTAGGGCCTAACCCGTGAGCGGGCGAGGGCAGAACGCGCGGCGGCGGCAGTTTGGGCGGGGGGAGGAGGGAAGGGGGGTCGCGCGCGGGCGAGGGCTGAGTTGGCGGGTGGGGTGGGGGGGGGGGCACGCACGCGCAGAGCGGGGCGGCGGTGTGGTCCCACTGCCTAATAGGCGGTCGCAGTGTGCACTGGTGTTAGCGCGCATTTGCCACTGCGGCGGGGTTGCGCCCAGCCGTGCGCGCGCGGGCAAGTGCCTATGCCTACGGTCGGTGGGCGCCCCCTTCAAGCGCACTTGGGTCGCAGCGCGGCCCAGCGTCGCAGTGGCGGCAGGGGTCTGCGGCGTGCGACTGGGCGGTTTTGCGTAGGGCGCGCGCGTTGGTCGGCGGGCGGCCATGGCGCCAGTGCGCCCGAGTGCGTGAGGCGGCGGCGACGTATGTTGCGCGGGCGGGTTGGCGCGGGATAGCGGGGGCGCGCTCGGGCGATTGGCTTCTTCGCGGCATGCGCGAGCGGGGGGAGGGGGCGCCCGTCGAGATCTCGGCCACGGCCATCTGCTTGAAGAACGGAAGGTTGTTCTTGACATTCAGCGAATTCTCGTTGCGCGTGGGCGGGGGTTGGCGGTGGCGGCGGCGGGGGTGGATGGGTGGTCGTGCGTGCGGGCGTTGGGGCGGGCGGTGGTGGGCGTTGTGTTTATGCGAGCCGCGCGTGGCGTTGCGTTCTGTGCGGCCGCTTGTGGCCCCACCGTCGCATTGGCGACGTAGGGTCGGCGCGATGCGCACGTTCGCCGCGCTAGTCTGCCGCAGCCGCTACATCACTCTGGTAGCAACCTGCTGTTGGGCGCGCCCAGCACGCGGCCTGCATGGCAGGCCTTTGCCGTCGCATCCTTGCGGATGCGCGCTCGTCCATCAGCACCAGTTTCGCGGCGTGGCGCTGCTTGCCCCGTGGTGTCGCGGTGCATGCTGTGACCAGCTGCGTAGCTTCACCAGCTGGATGTACGTCGTTGCCCGCCACCGTTGGCTCGTTCGCACAAGTGCGAGGGCCCCGTGCCGCGCCATGCGCGTGTGACTACGCAGCGTTGCTGCACTCCCCTTCTGTATGTGTACACATATGCGGTGGATACCCGCCCTGGCCATGTGACTCGCCAGAAAAAAAGCTTGCAATCAACAGTTCGTCATGCATCCGTGATAACAGGAATGCCGCGTTTACCAAATTCTTCATGAAAGCGGTTGACTAAACGAAGGGTTTGCGAACGTGCCAGTGAAACCCTTCCCGACAGCAATTATCCAACCCCTTCGGTTCGTGTGCGCGTTCTTTTTTCGGCAAGCTTGGGAGCCGACGCGCGCAGCAGGGGCCGTTGTTTGTCCGCTTCGCGGTGGCTTCTCCTGTCTGGACGTCTGGTTAGCCCACGGGTCACAGGGGCCGTTGCTGGACGGGAAGGGGCTTCACGACATTCCAGACCAATTGCCCTCCCTGCCTGTTTCGGTGCCCAAGGTCCAGGGGCGTTCGGGGCGTTCATCTCGCCGACGGCGGGCCTATCATTTGAGGCCTGACAACGTAGTTCTTCGCGTGAGTCTTGCGGGCTACGGGACCTAGCAAGCGTATTCCCCCAGCCGCTGTACGCTGTTCCATTTGTCCAAGGTCGGAAGACGTGACTCTCTTGCCGTAAGTGGTCCCCACCAGCCACGTTCCTGTGCCAACGTCGTTGGTGCGCATGCACATTGGGGTCCCGCCCTTATGTCTGCGGCAATGGGACGTCTGGGCGATGACGTAGGCATTTCGTTTTCTGCTGCCCCCCCCCCCGCCTTCCAGAAGCGCGGGCGCGAAGTTAACGAAACAGGCGGGATATCAAAGTCTCCTAGCCGCTGTGGCGTAAAGATAACCGCGCTGTGGCACCGAGATCGTGATGTGCCTGTCTGTCAGTCGTAATGCGCCCTGGGGTCGGTGCACCTGCAGGTCTTCGCAGCACCGCCTTGCCCTCACCGTTGCCATTTGTGATCGGGCAACTTCTGCAAAGCAAGTTTACTCGGGGCCAGCCTCCGACTTTCTTTCTGCAGTCTGGGCGTCTGCATGGAGAGCGGTCGGGGCAGCGGCCCCCCGTCGGTCGCCCCGTCGGCGAGGGCAGGCGGCAAGCGGGCAGCCTCCTGCGCAGGGACAGAGGTCGGTCGCGGCGGAGGCCGTGCAGGCGCAGGCCGCAAGAAGGGCAGGGGCGGCAGAGGAGCGTCGGCTGGGGCACCCGATGAGCCAGCACCCAAGAGAGCCAAACAGTTTGGAGTGTGCACGTGCTCATCTTGTGGCGCCAAGAGCGATAAAGCGAGCGAGCCTTGGCCATTCCAGGCGCCACACCCTCGGACGGGCCAGATGGTCGATTTCGATGACAAGTGTGCGAAGTGTTGGAAGCGGTACTCCAAGGGCGGCTTCCACATGTACCTCTCGTGGCCAGAGTATTGCGAGTATGCTGGCGATGATGCGAACCAGGGGGCGCTGGCAGAGGTCGACAAGAACATAGAGTCGTCGCCTGAGCTGCTCAACTTCAGGCAGCATGGCGTCGAGGCCACTCGCACTTCAGGTTGGCGGGTCAGGAAGGGCTTCATGGCGCTCGGCAAGACTGAGTTCAAGTCGAAAATGAATGGCGAGCCGCGCTCTAAGATGCCCGCGTGTCCTTCAGTCGAGGTCTGCAAGGAGGGCTCCAACGTGGCTGAGACCTTCTACCTGTTCGAGCACCCCCTCATGCCCTTTCGCACTCTCAGCTACTTCTCCGAGTATGGCGCTTCGGACACTGTCAAACACTTGGATCCGTCGATGCACCTGGCAGCACAGATGAACACTCATGCGATGCACACTGTGCTGGATGCTGCCAACGGGTCGAGCGGTTTCTCTGGTCTGTTGAATGGCAAGATCCCTGAGTTGAACACGTTCAAGAAAGCCTTCGTCACCGAGCGTGCGAAGGCCGCTGCGGAGGCGGCTGAGAAGAAGAGGCTTAAGAAACAAGACAGCATTGGCGCAACCCAGGGAGAGCAGGAGGACATCTACATCGAGGATGGCGAGGAGAAGTTCGTTGAGGATCAGCCCGTTGTCACCGTCGGAGCGCGTGGTGGAGAAGGTGGCCAGAGTGGGGTTGCAGCTTCCTCTGCGGCGAGCGCGGCATGCCCTGCTGCTGCCTCAGCCGACGCGGGCGCCTACGGTCGCAGCCCGATGCCGCCCCGCGTCCAGAGGGCTGCCAGCCACGCCGATGACGACGGCAGGAGCGTCTTCTCAGATCCAGCCACTGAGGCTGGCGGGCCAGAGAGGAAAGGCACCCCGAGGGGGCACGATGCAGCTTACTACGTGAGGGTGCTGGACTTGCAGCAGATCACCGACGGCGAGAAGCTCGGCGTCCAGGAGCACCATGCCAGAGTCCTTCTCAAGAGCAGCAGGATGACCACGGACGAGCGCGACAAGTTGCACAACCACCTCGAGCTCGTAGATCATGCGAAGAAGCTGGCGGACGACAACTTGGAGTTCTTGTTGCCAGATGCTTTCAGCAAGGCAGTGGATACCATCATCGTCGGCAACGGTGTAGAGCCCTCGGCGGCGTTGGAGACGTCCGCTTTCAAGATCAGGGTCAAGGAGATGCTTCAGCATGCAACCACTGAGGCAGGCTTGCGCGCCCTGTTCGGATGTCTGCGCCCGTGGGCCATTCCAGGGGGCGTTGCTTACGACCTCAAGCAGCCGATTCTCGCGTGCAGCCGCATTGCTCCGAAGGAGAAGGCGGCACTCTTCACGAACTACGTGGCTGCGAACTTGTTGAACCCTCTCGTGAAGAAGGGCCAGAGCGGGAAGGACTCGCTTGTGCAGGCCGCGGTCATCTTGAAGGGTTTCTTGAGCGAGTCCAGCGAGCACACCGAGTCGATCGACGACGTCATATTGCACGTGATTCTAGAGTTGCGTTCTCTGCGTGATGCGTTGTGCGCTTTGGTGTCGAGCACCCTGACTGACAAGATTGACTGCATGAGCGACCTGCGCATGCTCCACAAGTACATGTCTACGCACAACGCCTCGCTGTTCGGTAGCGTCGGCCAGAGCATGAAGCGGACGGAGTGGTACGAGGCCAGGTTGACGGACATCATCCAGAAAGAGGAATCCATGACGTCGTTGAGCGATACAATGGGCTCCTGCATTTCAGCGATGGAGGCGGCCATGCTCGAGGACTGCTTGACCAAGCAGGTTGAGGTTGTCACGTCCGCTTGCGAGAACTTGACGAAGGTACAGACCATGCTGGACCCAGAATACTCAGAGCACTTCTCCTCGAAGATCGAGCCAGTCGTCAACGCTATCTTGGCGAGCGTCGGGGCCGCTTGCAGGGACCGCACCATCCCGGACGACTTGACCCAGAAGCTTGCTAGTTCGACGATGGAGATGTCGTACGCTTTCCCTGCCAGAGAGGACGTGATTGCCATGAGCGGCACCATTGCATCCTACGCGAAGGAGTCGCGAAAGGAGGCTGTCGAGAAGTGCTTGGTAGAGTCCGTGGCAGCCTGCTTGAGACTGGGCGAGGACGCGGGGCCAGGTGATGTGAAGGGTGTGCTTTCGTCGTTGCTCGCCGCGGCGGACAACGCTGCTGGCGCAGACGTTAGTTGCGGGGTGCAGGATGACGCGACCAAGGCTTTGAAGCTCATCATGGCCGCCGCCTCGAAGTACCCGAACGAGTTGGGCCCCACGTGCTTGCACGTGGAGACGGCTCTCGGAAAGGTGTTGGCCTCGATCGCTGAGACCACCAAGACTGAAGGGTACGTGCTGACGAACTTCCTCAACCTGGTTGACGCGGTCAACGGCTACGCGCCGAACTACGAGCACGAGAAGGAGCGCATCAACACGGGTGCGTTCAATCTGGCGGCATACGACAAGCTTCACTCGACCTTGGTTTTCTTCGAGAAGATCTGCCCACAGATGGATGACATGACCTCTCTGATGCAGCGTGCCAGCTCAATGGTTAGCGCAGGCAAGGAGGCGCTGATGACCCACGAGATGGCCGTGGCAGAGTCCGCGAAGGCTGCGCTGGAGTCAGCGCTGGCCCTCGTCCGTGATGAGAACGGCGTGCCGCTCGGCCAGACGCAGTTCAAGGTTTACGCTGGTTTCGCTGAGAAGGCAAAAGGTCCTCGGTGAGAGGATCTACCCCGCGGAGCTGAAGAAGAAGCAGGAGGCCATGCTCTCCGCCGCGGTGTCATTGAGAGACGTCTACGCGAAGTTCGGTGGCATGCTCCCTCAGCACGAGTACGATAGCATGATCGCGTTGGTCAATGAGGCGAAAGCGTTCACGCTCTCCCTCGCGATCGTCGGTGTCCTGGGGGCTCCCAACTCCGACAAGGTTGCCCACCACAGGGCGATCACGAAGCTGCAGAAGTCAGCGGCAGAGACCGCCGTCAATGTGATGTTGAACCGTGTGCTGGTCGCTCAGTTAGCCAAGGCGAAGTAAACGAGCTTGAGCCAGCAGGACGTGAGCCACACGCAGACGGCTCGGAGGTGCCCTAGCAAAAAAAACATAGAAAACAGCACAACACACATCATCATCGCATCGTCTGTCGGAGAGCGGGCGGGGGGGAATGAGGGAGAGGATGGAGGAGAAAGAAAGGAGGGGAGGGTATATACCAGCCACGGTGGAGGGAGAACGAGGAGCAAATGGCATGACAGCGGTTGCAGGGGTGATCGGCAGCGGCGTGGGGCGGGAAGAGGGAGGGTAGCAGGAGGAAGCAGGGCGGTGACCCCACGCCGCGGCCTCGGGTCTCGAACGAGAAGAAGGCGTGCTCGCCGCCGTCCGTCGCCGCTCGCCCCCCCCGCTGCCACCGCCTCCACCCTCTCCTTCTCTTTTTCCCTGCTCTCGCCGCGTCGTGTTCATCCCCTTATTCCTTGCTGCTGCTGCTGCTGCTTCTTGGCGCCCCAAGGTGTACTTGCTGTTGCTGCTGTTTTTTTCTTGTTGCAATCCCGCCTTGGTGCATTGCTGTTTCTGTTGCCTCCAATCGTGCTCCTCATGTCCCTCCGGGTGCTCTCGTTGCTTCGTTACCCCTTCCATCCGACGATCAGCCCCCCATCTTTGCACTGACCCGCTGTGCACGTCACCCCCCCGTTTCCTCTCCTACCGCGCCCTCGCCTTTTCGCCGTCGCCCCGCCGCTCTACCAACCCTCCTCGCCTCCACCTTCCTTCTCCTCCTTCCCTCTCCTCCGTCCGCCTCCTCATCCTTCCGTTCGCGAAGCCTGGCCCGAGCGGCGCGGCATGGCCGCGCCGCTCGTTCGATCACTTAACGTGGCCAGCGCTGGCCTCATGAAGGCTTTGCGCTCCGTCTCAGGGATGACGACTTTGCTCGACTGTTGAAGCCTGGGACATAGTTCAGGCGAAATCGTGACGGACTAGATTTCGATTTCTTGCTTGACTTTTTCGCTGGTTCGCGCGGGGTGTTATCCCGACTACGTTTCGAACTCCAAACGGCACTTTTCAGGTTTTGGCTCCTGGAGGGCCTCTAGCAGGTTCGCCGCGTCTCAATCCTAGTCCTCGTCGTCGTCGTCGTCGCCGCCGTCGTCGTCGTCGTTGTCGTCGTTGCTGCCGTCGCTGTCGTTGTCGTCGTTGTTCTTATCGTCGTCGCCGTCGTCGCCGTCGGCGCCGGAACGCCCCCCCTGTGCTGGCGACCGTAAGGGGGTTGCGCGATCAGGGCGGCTTTCAGAGAGTCGGCGGCGGAGTGCGAATACTCCTGTACTCCTCCTTTTCCTCCTCCTCCTCCTTCTCCTCCTCCTCTTCCTACTCCTCCTCCTCCTCCTCCTCCTCCTCCTCCTCCTCCTCCTCCTCCTCCTCCTCCTCCTCCTCCTCCTCTCCACCTCTTCCTCCTCCTCGTCCTCCTCCTCTATCTCTGGAGCCTCTGGAGCCTCAGCGACAGCATCCCTCGGGCCGAGCCTGAAAGAGACCCTCTTTTGAATGACCCCACCCAGGCGACGAACTCCATGACAACGGCGAAATTGAACATGAACAGCCTCCTCCTCTACCTCTGAAGCCTTCAGAGCCTCAGCGAAAGCATCCCTCGGGCCGAGCCTGGAAGATACCCCTCAGATGAACGACCCCACCCAGGCGACAAAATCCATGCCAACGGCGATACTGAACGAACAGGCCCGCCCACGCAACCACGAAGGTACCAGAAAGCCTCAGCCACATACAAGACCAGGGTCAAGATCTGGACACGATGCCAGGGACAGACCTTTCCAATATTTCTGGTATGCACCACTTCGCCACCACGAGACCGACGTAGGTGGGGCCTCCCATAGCCACACATCAAAAACCAGCAACGCCACAAGACTAAGACGCGAGGAACTTGACCAACAGCCCAAGCTATAGAAAA